TCCCTCGTATACTAGGCAGACCCAGTTCAGGCCCATAAATCGCAGAACGGTGCTTTCTGAACGGCTCAGAGCCTGGTCAACCCTTCAAGGCTGAATCGTTTAAGTAAGTTTATTGGCTTAAGCCCTGGGAAGAGGAGCCCTTGAAATCGTACGCAGAGGTACCGGTATGTGTGTGGTGGTCGTCCCGTCCAGCCAGGCGAGGGTCAGGTTTCCTGGTGTGAGTCTCCGTCCCCACGGACAGCCCGACAAGAGAGCTCACGCCCTATAGGATGGGGCGGACATCTCTTCTTGTCCGCGGAGGTCGTGCCGCTGCCCTGCTAGGGCTGAATGAAGTATCCTTGGCCCTTGGTCCGTAGATAAGTCAAGAAGAGCGCCCTAGCTCTTCCACATCGAAGCTCCAAAGACTCTACCCGCGTTCTGTCCCTGTATTTGGCGCAAACCCCATTCACCAACCATGTCTGAGAAGGTGGCATCCATCACTCAGGATGTCCAGTCCACCGGCTCGGGGAAGACAGAGAAACAGCCACTGAGAGAAGACCCCTCTCTCGAAGTCTCCCCGCTGCCCGAGGACTGGACCGAGGCGGAGGAGAAGGCCCTGGTGAAGAAGCTCGACGTCCGGATCATCCCCATGATGGCGATCGTGTTCGCTCTCTCGTTGATCGACCGAGCCAACATCTCCGCGGCGTACATTTCGGGCATGAATGTCGATCTCGACCTGACGACAGGTACGTAACGGGTCCTCATGTGGAGATGTGATATGAAGAAGAAAACCCACCTGACTGACTTGTCCTTCTTCTCCCAGGCAATCGCTACACGGTGACCCTCCTGGTGTTCTTCCCAACCTACGCTCTCTTCGAGTTCCCCTCCAATCTGATCATTCGCCGCGTGGGCGCCAGACTCTGGCTCGGTTTTCTCGTGATGAGCTTCGGCGCTGTGGTGTTCGGAATGGGTTTCGTCAAGAATTGGAGAGTCCTGGCTGTCCTCAGAGCACTGCTGGGAGCCGCCGAGGCAGGCCGTGAGCTCTCCCGTCCCCAACGTGTTGAACCTGCAGAACTAAGAGCCCGGTAGAACTGCCCGGTTGCGTCTACCTCGTTGCCAGTTGGTATCGGACGTTCGAGATGGCGAGCCGCATCTCCATCTTTTACATGTGCTCGGTATTGGCACTCGGCTTTGGTGGACTGGTGAGGTTGCACTCGTTGTTTGATTTTTCCGGCACCCTCCTCCTAACACGCCCTGCAGATCGCGTACGGCTTTCAGCAGATCAGTGTTGGGGACGGCATGCTCTCTCAAGGGTGGCGTTGGATCTACATTATCGAGGGGATGATCACGGTGGTGGCTGGCGCTGCGTGCCTTTTCACCGTGCCTCAATGTAAGTTGACCGACTCACGCCCCGAACTGCCGTGCTCAGCCCAGACTATCTCCATGCTAAAGTGACAATGATTAGTCGCCGAAAAGGCTACCTGGCTCACAGATCGCGAGAGGTACATTGCGAAGGAACGCCTCATTCGTGACCGAGGCGAGAAGGAGTATAAGAAGGTATCAGCCTGGGAATCAGCGAAGCATCTCCTGGACCCCAAGCTTCTTGTCCTGTAAGCTCTCATCACCCATGGAAGAAGAGCGACGTCGCTGAAAGATGATCCGCAGCTCATACATGTATCTCGCCACGTCGTCGAGTGCCTACTCCATTAACTTCTTCTTTCCGATCATCTTGACTCAGGGTCTCGGGTTCAAGTACACCACGTCCTTGATACTGACAAGTACACCATACGTAAGTGTCAACGCCTCCTCTCCAGGTTGGGATCTCACGTGGGGGTAGTTCTGTGGCATCATAGCAGGCGTCACTTTGGCCTGGATCTCCGACAAATACCGTACTCGCTATCCGTAGGTGAAGTCGCTCACGAGCCCAGCAAGAAAACAAGACTAAATTCCCATCTCTAGCATAATCCTGGTGCAGACAGCTTGCTGGTAAGAAGCAGATCTCCCCCTCCTAGACAGACGCAACGAAGCTGACCTGCCGCAGTATCATCGGACTCTTCATCATCAATCTCGTGGATGCACCTGGCGTGCGCCTCGTCGGGTAAGGAAAAAGAAGAGCCAAGATGAATCAAGTCACCTGACACGTCACGCAGGATTTTCATCACGGTTCTCGGTGTCCAGAACAACGCGTAAGCCTTTCCATCTCCTGAAAAAAAGAGAAAAAAAAAGAGAA